GTGTCAACTCGCACAAAATGTCATGACAGGCCAAACCCATTCCTTGAATAGCTACTGTGGCTTCTTTTGGGATTGTTTGTAGTTGACTTAATGGATAGCAGCGAAAATATTGCAGATGAGGATTCCGTGACTGGTTACTTTTGACGGATTCACAGTACTCAATGATATCATCGTACACCCATGTCAGGTATTCGCCTAATATTGATCGCGGCAGATAGTCGTTCTCCCGAAGTTCTAACCCTGTCTCATCAGTTGTGATTAAATACTGATTATTAGGCATTCGCCGATAACCTTGTTGCTTCGCCCAGTCAAAGAACCCCGGTCCTTTTCTCAAAGGGCCGTAGTCTGTTACCGACTCATCACCGAACATCGTGACTTGACAAGCAACTGTATTGATAAGAAGATATGAATTTTGTTCTGATGAATGTACTCCTTGTCCAGGGCTGCTGCCAGGATCAAACAGATAAACATCCAGCTCATAGTCATGCTTGTTCGGATCGTAGATGGCTGACAAACGTTCGAGAACGTTCAGGCCTCTTGCACCAAGACCAATAATAGCGACTTTTGCACATTCTTTAGATGAAGAACTCGAATGAGCACATCCATTGCTCCGAAGAACACCATCGTTTGGACAAGGATTTGATGATCGTTCGGATTTGTTGCTTTCACTATTGGTTTCCATAGGGCTCTCATCTACTTCAGCAGTTAGATTGATATGTTCCATGAGTTATTTTTTACTTAAATAGTGGGTGGAAAACATTATATCATTTTAGAGTAGAATGCTAAATAAACGAATCATTCATGACGCATTAAACAAATCATTCATGACCCTCACCTGCAATGGTAAATATTATTGAATATGACAAACGTTTTGAACAAAAGAAGAAGAAAAGTAAATCTGACTATTGTTCTGTAAAGAGAGAAGAAAATCAAAATAATATCATTTTAGAGATATGATGAAAACTGTACTATTTTTAACTTTTGTGGACGTTTACACATCTTTGAGGCATTTGTACTCCGTTGACCTTGAATATTTCGAGGATATGTAACCACTCACAACAGTTAAAAAGAAAACAATTTTCATCGGCTATTAAACCCCCGGAGAGATTATCACACTTGTCCGCTCACATCTTTAATGTCTGTCACTATTTCAATTTGATATAATGCCTCTCACAGAGAAAAGAAAAACATAAGAAGAAAATAAATTGGACACATCCATATAAAAAGGAGAGGGTAAAGATCTATTCTACTCAATAGAATAACATTCAGTTTTACAGAAAATTAGAAAAAACGCATAGAATAAATATATACATACAGAGTCGGTAAGTCCATCCATGTGTGGAGCGTTTTAGCTACATTTGAATGAAACTGTGACTTTACTATGTCTAAAATGATATTAAATTGGATTTTCTTCTCTCTTTATTAAGCTACCGAAGATCGTGATTTGAGAAGTAGCTGTATCGATAAGCGGATGTGGATTTTGTTCTGATGAATGTACTCCTCATCCAGGACGGAGGTGAGGATCAAACAGATAAACGTCCATCTATC